GGATCTCGAAGGAGATGTCGAAGCGAGCTCGAATGAGCGAGCCCCTCCAGGCGCAGTATGTTCGCTGGGCCCCGCCAAGGGAACGACTCGACGATCTGCCATGCCTCTGGGACAATGAACCTCGCGTCGACCATGTCGAAGGCCCTGGTATGCTCGTCAGCCTGGCGTAAGCTGCCTGGCAGGCCGTCTGACGCCAGAAGCTGCTCCAGCATCGCAGAGGCATCCTCGCCCCCCAAGACGTGGGCTCGAGCGGCCGTGGCGCCCTGGCGGCGCCGCCAACGCTCAGCCGCCCGCCCCCAGCGCGCGATCTCCTCCGCGGCCGCCTCGCGCTCGCAGACTCCACAGCCCCAGTGCGAGGCGTCGCTGGCCGTGACCTTGCCGTGCCAGTTGGCGTCCGTGTGAGCCGCCATCAGCGGCAGCAAGTTCCTGACGTGCCAGAGCTCCCCCCTCACGGCCGGCCACAACTCGCCCACCTCAATGCCCTTGGACTTGTTGTAGGCGCGCACAGAGCTGACCACCGACAGGGGAGACCGCTGAGCCACCATGATCCAGGTCGCATTGCCCGCCACGATCTCGAGCGCGTGCCCTGCGCCGGCACAGCGGCCCATGAGCTCCTCAATAGCCAGACGCAACCTCCAAACGCGCTCGGTGGATACCCGCGCCGTGCGACCGCGCCGTCGAACGTGAGGCCCGCGAAGTCCGTCTGGCACACGGCCCCGCCATCCTCCTCGCGGATCGCGCAGCCCTGGCTGGAGAGCGCCTCCGCGACAGCGAGCCCCGCAGTGCCGACGCCCTGCTTCGGCGAGCCCCTGACCATGATATCGTCGACGTACGCGGCCGCGCCCAGCGGGCGCCCCGGGCCCAGCGGGCGAGAAGCCTGTCGATCCTCCACGAGGACCTCGGCGCGCTGGCCACCCCGCGCAAGCCCCTCCTCCGTCGCCAGCTGGCAGAGGCGCAGCGCCCACCTCCAGCCCATCGGCAACACCACCAGCACCAGCACCAAGAGCGCCGAAGCGCTGCGACCCCGCAAGCCCACCGCGCCGCCGCGCATCGCAGGTGGCCTAAAGCAGGATCCCAACTCTTCTTGCACCTCGATGGCGTAGAAGGCGTTGCTGATGTCACCGCTACTGAACCAGACGCCGCCGCACTCCTGCGTCTCCAGCTTCGCGAGGGCGGCGGCCGAGGGCAAGTGCGTCGACGGCGGCGGCAACGAATCAGTTCGCCAAAACGGCGTCAAAGAGGATCCTCGGAATCTGGTTCTTTTTCTTGACGAAGAACAAACCCACCGTTGCACTGCTGTCGTCGAGCTCCTCGGCGGGCACAAGGCAAGCCATGCTGCGACTCACCAGTCCAGTCACCAAATCTCCGTAAACTTCGCGACCCCGGAGCGCAGGGTCAAGACGGGGACGTAGAAGTCCGAGCTCAGACCGCGGGCCAGCCGCTGCAGCTGGAGGTCTTCGCATGTTGGCCGTCAGATCCCTCAGCCAAGTAGGGTGCTCGGCTGGCAGCGCCTCGCCCAAGGAGACGGGCTCCGCTCCCCCGGCCAGCCGGGGCACAGCGTCCTTGGTGTAGGCCACGACGGTCGCGGCGCACTCGCCGTGCATGGCGGCGCTTCCGCAGAGCTCACGAGAGCCCCCGCGGCGACGTACATCAGCAGGACAGGGGCCAACCGAGCAGTAGCTGCGCCCCAGGTGCTCGAGGCGCATCTACTGCGTAGCGCCCGCGGCACCATCCCCCGCCAAATCGCGCCCAGCAAAAGAGTCAAGGGATTGGATGTCGTCGTTGGCCCAGTCGAGAGCATGGCGACGGCGGCGAGCGCAACGGGCGACGGCACGGCAGCCAGCACCAGTCTCTGAGGGGACAGGGAGAACAGGCAAGGGGAAGATGTCGCGCTGGCGCGCCATCACCTCGCGGCCGATGATGCGAAAGCCTGCGCGCCCGGGGCCACGGAGCAGCAGGCAGCATTGATCGATGAAATAGTCGCGGAGGTCAGCTGCCCTCCGCCCCCTTCGGCCCCTTGGCCCCCTTGGGCTTGGCAAGCTGTCTCTCCTCCCGTGCTTTGCGTCTCTCCTTGGCGACGGCGTTCTCCCTCGAGATCTGCTCGCTGATCCAGGTTAAGAGAGCGGGGGCCGCCATGGGCCCTCTCGTCGTCGCCATTCCTGTGAAGTAGTGCTCCTCGTCCTGGTGCTCGTTGTTGTCCTTGCGCGCCCCCGGGGCGCGATCTCTGCGCCTTTCTGCGCAAAGTTGAAGTTGTCCTGAGACCAACTCCAGGATGGCAAGGCTCGTGAGGTCCAGTTGGTCGTAGTACAGCGCCGCGTCGAAGACCTTCGAGTACTCGCGATGAGCCCAAACGACGATGTCATCCAGCCCCAGGCGAATAACTGACCTCCACTGGACGCGGTGCCCGAGCGCGCCCCCTCCATTCTCCAGCATGAAGTTCGCCACCTGGTGAGCTGTCCTCGGCCATGGCACCACCCAGTCGTCAAGTCGACAGCCCGAAGCAATGCGACCCCTGAAACGACAGCCCGATGCCGCTTCCCGTTGATGTCGAGCTGCACTGAGAGCGCCCGGCAGTCACCCGAGCCAGCGGCACCATTACTTGATCCGTCGGCTGCGACGGCCAGCGGCCCAGCACCTGCTCCAGCCAGCGCCGCAGCGAGCCCGGCGGCACCGTCCGCGGCGGCGGCGGTGGGCGCGGGGGCAGCGCCAGCCCTGGCGGCGCGTCCCGCTGTGGCCGGGGGCGCGGCAACCAGCCTGCCTCCATCTGGGGCCGCGGCCGGCGCGGCGCCAGCGGGCGCGCCCAGGGCGGCGGGGGCGGCTCCTGCGCCAAAAGCTCCGACACCACCTCCCGCCCCATCGCTGGCAGCTGCACCTCCGCCTCCTCCGAACAACGCGGCAAGGCCGCCTGCTGGTCCACCTGCCGCGGAGAGCCCGCCGCCGCCCCCCGCGGGCGCTGCAGCGCCCCCTGCGCCTGCTCCAGCCGCCCCAGCGCCGCCCGCGCCGCCCGCCGCTCCGCCACCACCAGCTGCAGGACGCGCCGCAGCGACACCGAGAGCAGCATCATGGCCAGCAAGGAGCCCCCCGGCCTGCTGCGCGAAGGCCTGTAGCTCCGCAGGCGTGAGGGGCGCGGCGAAGTCGTGCACCCTGAACCCTGCTCCGCCGGCGGCTGGCGCGATGTCCCCATCCTCGCGGATGAGCACACTCCCAGGCCCCACGCGGTACCAGTGCCGCACGTCGTCGTTGTCCTCGCTGAAGAACTCGACGTAGAGGTCGTGGTCCGGCGAGACCACCGCCGCGTGGAGCCTCTCGATCTCAGAGACGCCGACCACGACACAGGCATGTAAGAGAGGCGCCCCCGGCATATCACACTCGACGTACAACTCATCGCCAATGTTCATGCCTTGATCGCAGGCGGTGTCCAGTCGCCGACGAGCTTGCCGCGGCCTCCGGGCACCCAGCGATCAGGAGCACCGCCAGGCGGGGTGGGCTCGAGCTGGGCCTCCACCGCGAGGACGCCCTCGCGCTTCCGGCCGCAGCAGCGGCCCGCCTGGCCGCGCACGGCGGCCCACAGCCTGGTGGCGAGCTCCCACAGCAAGAGGGTCCCCAGGCCCAGAGAAGACCTCGAAGCCCCAGGAGAACTCCGCCATGGCCGGCTCGGGGCACGCTGGGCAAGGGTCTGGGCACTCCACCAGCGGTGCCGCAGCCCCCCATGGCAGGCACCTCTCCAACTCCGCGCGCAGCTCGCCAGCCAACGCGGGGTCGGCGGCGCGGCCGCCGGGCAGCTCCGCGATGGCGGAGCGGGCGCCGGCGCCACGGCCGGCGGCGCGGCGGCCACGGGCCGCGCGGCCGAAGGGCAGGCGGGGCCGCGGCTGGCCCACCACTGCCCGAGCCACGCCGTGCCTACGTGGAACGCCAGGAGCGCCGCGCCGCGGGCCGCCTGGCGCATCCAGGTCGCGGGCGGGCCTGGCAGCACGCGACCTCCTCCGAAAAAGGCTTGGGCCGAAGCGGTAGCCTCCTCCTCCTCCTCCTCCTCCTCCTCCTCCTCCTCCTCCTGTTCCGCATCCTCCTCCTTGTCTTCCACCTCTACCCCTCGTCCGCCTTTTTCACTTCCTCTCGCCCCCCTCGGAGAGAAGGGAAGGGAGGACAGATCGGGCCACCGAGGCCGAGTGGACTGTATCCACCAATGTGCCTTCAGCGTTCCTCACAATCTGCACGTCCTCTGCCCGGGTGCCCCCTGTCCCACTGCCATAGCGGCGTGGCCGTAGGAGGGAGGACGAGGAAACGCACCAAAAAGAGGAGGGATGATGACCCAAAGATGCGAATGTCGAAGAACAGAAAACGCCAGAACCATAAACTGCTGGCGCTCCGCGCGCCAAACGCTGGTGCGTATGGCGCTTTTTCCTCTTCGAGAATGTGTGTGCGGCCCCAGATGTCCCGGGACTCCTGGGGACCCATGCCCTTCTCCCCACGGCCAGCCTTTATGCCGAATCTCGGCGGTGGACAAACCTCCCTTTCACAAAAAACACCCTCGAGTGAAAACGGCCCAGGACCGAAACCGACGGACCTGGACCCGCAAAAAAACAACGGCCGTGACGCCCTCTCGCGAACCGAAAAAGGGCCAATTCGCGAATCGACGTGTCAGGGTAGGAGGTCAATCAACATCCGAGAATCGCGGCTCGACGGTCCCAAGGCTCGGCGAGGGCCTGTAGAGAGAGACTCTTGAGGCCGAGGAGGGCAAGAACCTCCACCTTGGTTGTTTGCCAACACGCTGTATCTCTGGAGCGGGAGACAGGAAGACGGATCAGGAGGAGGCGAAGGAGGAGGAGGAGGAGGAGGAGGAGGAGGAGGGGGAGGAGGAAGAGGAGTAGGAGGGAGGAGGAGGGAGGTGGAGGAGGAGGAGAAGGAGGAGAGGGTGGAGGGGGTGGAGGAGGAAGAGGAGGACGAGGCTGAAAAGGACCAGGACGAGGAGGAGGAGCAAACCAATCCCGCCCCTCGTGCGCCGGCATCGGCGGTGTGGCCCTCGGGGCTGGACTCGAACTCCTGGCCCAGAGAGGGGGGCACAAAGATTCGGCGCAGCAGCTGCCCCTGCCGCAGGACGACTGACCTTACGACTGCCCCGCCTCTCGGATAGAGGCCTGTTAGATGGGGTCGGAGTAGGTGGGCTCGGAGGATCGCGCCGCATCGCCGATACATCGGCGATACATCGCCGATGCATCGGCGACATCGGCGATGTATCGGCGACGCCAGCGTGGATGAAATTGTGCTCCACATCGAGCCGCATCGCCGATGCATCGACGATACGGCGCGATCCTCCGACCCCATCTATTCGGACCCCATCTAGGAAGGTCAGACCGGAAAACAACGGCATAAACATAGCAGTTCTGAGGACCGTGCGGGCTTCTCGGATGGGCACTGGGCCCCCCTAGCGGCGCCTCCGGCGCCGCTCCCAGCGCGCTCCGCCGGCCAGGGACGGGGGTCCAGCGCTGGTGTGAGGATTCCGCGCAGATTGCCGAGTTTTTATGTTCGGAGTGGAGGGTTTCCGCCCACGCGAATCCATTTCAAGTCGTGCGCGCTGTGGCTGCATCGGGGCAGGCAAACGTCGTCGCACCATTCTATGTCATCTTCTTGTTCGCATCATTAATATTAGCAGTGTGATTGCTATTATTATCTTTTATTTTGATTATTAGTATTATTATTATTAGTCGTAGTAGTGGTAGTAGTAGTAGTAGTAGTAGTAGTAGTAGTAGTAGTAGTAGTAGTAGTAGTAGTAGTAGTAGTGGTAGTAGTAGTAGTAGTAGTAGTAGTAGTAGTGGTAGTAGTAGTAGTAGTAATATGTATATTTATTCTTATTACCATTATTTTCATTATCATTATCATTATTATGACTTTCTTCATTCTTCTTTTTCTTCTGGCTCGTCTTTCCAGCTGGGGGGGGTCGGCGGGGCCCGTCCGGGGGTGTCCGCGCGCACATGCGGGCGCCCGGGGAGGACCCCGGGCAGGGATGATATGATTCTGGAAGGGGAGGGGGAGGAGGCACGACTTGGATGAGCATGTTAGCACGAGCGCGAGGCACATGAAGGAGAGGCTGACGAGGAGGAAACAGGGAGAGAAGGAGAGCACGGACAGGATGACATAACCCTGTGCCCCAGATAAGAATCCCCGGAGGATGAGAAAGTTCGGGGGTCTGACGGGGATAATCAAGGATTTTCCTGGCGAAGGTGATGATGGTTATGGTGATGGTGATGGTGATAATGATGGTGATGATGATGCTGATGCTGATGCTGATGCTGATGATGATGATGATGATGATGATGATGATGATGATCCTGGGCGATCGTGTACACTGACCTTGTGAGGAGGAGGAAGAGGAGGACGAGGGGCCACGAACCGTGTGAGTGATGCGCTAAACACTCCAATGCTCTGCCTGCTTGACAAACGCATGCAACTTCAAAATCCAATCGGTCGCCCTGGCCCTGCCACACGTTCCTGACTCGGGAACGGCTGAGAAAATGTGAATCCCATGGCCCTGCCGCACGTTCGTGACATGGTAAACCTGAAATGGTGAGAATCCCGTAGCCCTGCCACACGCTCGTAACTGCGGAGGCTGAAATGGTGTGACTACCATTGCCATGCTCAGCGCTTTTGATGCTGTTGCTAGTGAACATGAGATGATAACAACTTCGATTCGCAACTTCCCAAGGTGATTATCAAGTTCGGCCTAAATCCTATTGACATGAGATAAAAAAAGATTCAGGGCGGAAAGGGGGGTAAGTTTTATTATCAGGGGCGCTGGGTAAGGATGAGATTTGGGGCGACGACGATGAGTGGCACGCCCGCAATGGGTACGGAAACGATAAGTCCGATGTCCAACCGACGTCGGCCGCTGTTGGGCAGCCAACCGTCTGTCTCAAATGGACAACGTCGGCGGCGACGCCGACAGCGAGCCCTTTTCAAAACGGACAAGGACTGCTGTTGAGCAGGGACCGACCGTCCCGGCATTCCTGTAGTCCTACCACGAAATGTTCTTAGAACCCAAACATGCTCTAATAACGCAAGCAATATTCTTAGAACATTAACCCTATGCGTTAAAACAACACAGTCTCAGCCAGATATGTTCTGAGAACATTTCGTGGAAACGACAAAAGGATATTAGAACATTGTTTGGTAGGCCTACAGGCGAGCCAGGACGCTTCGCCACTGCTTGATGCTGTCAGTCTTCGTACCCATGATTGTCCATCGTTACTTAGCGGCGCGCCCAGGGGGGGGGGGGAACGAGAAGGGGCGGCGGGCCTTCTCAGAAGGCCCAGAACTCCCCTGGCCTTCTGAGAAGTCCCCCACGCCTTCCTCGAAGACGCCGAAGACCCCTCAGAAGGCGCGAGGGTTTCTGAGAAGTCCCCCCGGGTTCGGCGGTGGACAGACCTCCCTTTTAGTAAACCTCCCCTTGGTTAAAAAGGCCTGGGACCGAAACCGACGGATCTGAACCCGAAAAACTGACGGCCGCGACGCCCTCTCGCGAACCGAAAACAGCCGACTCCTGAATCGACGTGTTAGGGTAGGAGGTCTATCCACCTCCGACTCCCGCCTTCTGAGAAAGCCTTCTCCTTCTCTCATCCCCCCTGAGCGCGCCGCCGAATATCGGTCAGAACGGGTCCCTCGACCCCTCCTGGGGTTCATCGTTTATCCGACGCGGTGTTCCACCCCGGATCGCGTTCTGGGGGTCCCGGGGCTTCGTCCTCGTCCTCGTCGCCGCCGTCCTCCCGCCCATTCCGCCTCGCAACTTCCGCGGGCCCCTCCCTCCCCCAACCACTCCCTCTCCTCTGGGGGGCACAGGCATCGCCACGGGGCTCGAGCCAAATAGCCAGACAGTGCTTTTGTTCGCTGTCGTTTTGTTTTCGGCGCTCCTCGTTCTGTCTTCGTTCCGCCTTTGCTCGCCGCCGATGGTGAGCGTTTTCTTATTCTGCGTTTCGACATCGGGCGGAAGGGGGGTGCGGAAGGGGGGGCGGGGTATGGCTCCGGACCTCTGCGTAGCGCGACTGATTGCAACAGCGCGTCCCATGGGGGAGAGGCAACTGCTCGAAACAGAGGCCCCCAAAACAGCCAAGATCTACTCCTTTGGGGGGGCGAAAGGCGGGGTAAGAGGCCCCGCGCCAATCGGCAAAACAATGAATCAGAGAACGGACACGATGAGGAACTCTGATCCTAAACCCCCTCCAGGAAGTCCCCATCGCATCGGTGTCGAGTGCAATGGCCCCTCCAGAGGGGGCGGAGGGCCACAGCTCCCCCTCGAATGTGGCCAGGCTGCTCCCATCGTGGGTCTGTCAGTCGGGGGCGCGCAAACATGCATTAGCGATCCATGGATTTGGCGCGCGGTCGCCAAATCCATGAATCGGTGGAGGTGCCCTCCCCCAAATGCAGCCGGTGCCGCCTTGTTCAACGGCGGAAATCCACGATTTCCCATGGAAGCGGGACCCGTCGCTAATCCACAGGCCCTTAGGCCCGCGCCGATCGGCAAAACAACGAATGTGAGTATCGGTTAACCGATCCCCATCCCCAACAGCGTGGCCTGGGCCCCACTGGCCGATTTACCCCCCTAGATGGGGACATAGGTCGTCCCCTGCGGCTTTCGAGGGGTGTATCCACAACTGGGGTGGTAATTTGGTGGGAGTCTCGAAAGTGATGGGGATGGGGATACGGATTGGTTAAACGATTCCGAGAATAAGAAAACCCGCTCCTCCAGCAAAAGGATCTGGCGACGCCGACGGCGAGCAACCACCGCGGCGTGCCCCCGTGCACAGGGGAGGGGCGCGCGCGGCGCGCGCGAGGCTGAGAGGAGAGGGGGCCCCGCCGCCGCGGTTCCTCCTCCTCCTCCTCCTCTTCCTCCTTTTCCTCCTCTTCCTCCTCTTCCTCCTCTTCCTCCTCCTCCTCCTCCTCCTCCTCCTCCTCTTCCTCCTGTTCCTCCTCCTGCTCCTCCTCGTCCTGTTCCTCGTCCTGTTCCTCGTCCTCCTCGTCCTCCTCGTCCTCCTCGTCCTCCTCGTCCTCCTCCTCCTCCTGCTCCTCCTCCTCCTCCTTCTCCTCCGCGTCCTCCGCGTCCTCCTCCTCCTCCTCCTCCTCCTCCTCATCCTCCTCCTCCTCCTCCTGTTCCTCCTCCTCATATTCCTCCTCCTCCTCCTCCTCCTCCTTCTGCTCCTTCTCCTGGTCCTCCCCCTCTTCCTCCTCCTGCTCTTGCTCCTGCTCCCGCTGCTGCTCCAGTTCCTGTTCCTGTTCCTGCTCCTGCTCCTGCTCCTGCTCCTGCTCCCGTTCCTGCTCCTACTCCTCCTCCTTCCCCTCCTCCTCCTCTTCCTCCTCCTCCTCCTCGGGCCCAGGACAGTCCGTTTACAGTCGGACCGTTGCCCTAAAGAACCCTCAGTCTGATCGGGCAAGAGCGAAAACGCCGCTCCAGTCCAATGGGTGTACGGGGCGAAAAACAAGAGAAGAGGAAGGCCATGGCGACGAGGAGGCGATGGCGAGGACAACGTGGACAACGTGGTGGGCCCGCGCCTGAAATTAAAACAACAAGCGGGCGCAGCGTGCACCCGCTCCCCAGGATCAAGACACTCCTTTTTTGGCATCACAGGCGCGGCGATCCTCGTCCGCGCGCAGCCTGTGCCGTCCTCGGCGGCTCTCCGGCCGCAGGCGACACTCGGGCCGACGATTGGCGTCGGCGGGTTCCAACAGTCACGCGGCGAGAGCCCAAGAAAAAACATGCCCAGGGAGGGCACCTGGGAGGGAAAGGCCCGAGGGAAAAGCTCGAGCCATAATGGGCTGCGGAGGCCCCGCCCCCCCTTCCCAGGCCCCCCCCCGCTAAGACCTCACGTTCTAAGCTGCGCGCGAACTCCCGCGTTTGAATGGGCCCGTGCCTGGAAAACCGACAAGCGGGTGCAGCGGGCACCCGCTCCCCAGGATCAAAACACCTTTTTTGACATCACGCGCGGGGCGATCCTCGTCCGCGCCCAGCCTGCGTCGCCCTCGGTGGCTCTCCGGCCACCCCACCCCCCCCCCTC